CTGTGTGCGTTGAAAAGAGAACTCCTTTCTCGTGTGGAAATTTACTGAATTCAGCGATACCAGCAAATGGAGCGGATTTTATCGATGAATCTATTGTCAAGACAAAAAGGACACCAATTTTGGTGTTGTCGGATTGAAGTTTTCTGCGAATAAAATCAACAGCAACATGCTTTTCTTGACTTGTTGACAAGAAGTTATTGTAGGACATCAGTTTGTCCTGTTGAATTTTGGTTTCGAAATCTTGTTGTGTCATCGTTTGACCGCGATAAAGTGTAGTTGGAAATGGTTCATTGGTGTCATTCAATTGTTGGTCATGGAGTTGCTGGATATTTTGATGAAGATCGCGCATGAAAAATCCTGTTTTAAGCAACGTACCAACGTCTAGTTTACCTAATGCTTTGTTGAGCATTTTATATGTGAAACATTCTGCAGTATACCACCGAGTAGGATTGTTGTCAATGTTACCGCGATAGTTTTCGACAAATTCGTCGATGATTTTTTGTTGTTCTTTATTGTTAGCATACGCCTCTTGTGTTCTAGCATAATCGGCAAGATCTTGAACAGTTTTCTTTTCATCGAAGTCAATTTCAAGTACAATTTCTTTGAACAGTGTTGTATACATAAATGATGGTTCTATTTCACCAGTAATTACAACAGCATCGTCATCGCATTCTCGTGCTGTTTGTCGAACCGAGATGCAAATGGGATCGATTTCTGTGAAAACGCCTCTTACTTTTGGAAACTCTTTTGTTGCCCATTGTTCATACTTTGATCGTTTTCGACAAAATATATAGATTGCATAAATTTGAGACATGTCGTGAGCAAGTGGTACGACATTTTCAGTAAGAGCCCCAGATATAATGAGAAAAGCTTTTTCATTTTTGAAACTTGAAATATATTGAAGGCATTTATCGGCATCACGGAATGGTTCAATAGTATCGACCGTTCGACGCAATTCCGTAATCGAATTTCGAAAATCTTCTTTTGACTCGTCCAGGTTACCATCGAGCCAAAGTAGAAGAAAATTTTGCACAAGATCTTGCGCTTGCGCACGTTGTTGGCTTTTCTCTCCGTTCAAGATAGAGTCTTGAGAACGGTGAGGATGTGTGGGCGAGCTTATTTCGGTAGAAATATGGGAATTGATAGAACTTACTGTTTTTGCTGATGCACTGCAGTCCATTTTGTGAACTATTTGTGGAAATTTTTTTTATGCAATGTAAAAATAAAATTTTGAATAAATGACGGAATACTATTCAGCGAAAATAGTCTTTCATTTAAACAAACATGTTGCTTGACGACAATTTTTATTTTTTTTATTTCTTAATGTACATTTTCTTTTGTTGACACTCAACGAAGAAGATTGTCTAGTGTCAATAGAAAAGGATGACGACGCCGACGACAAAAGTTTGTTGTTTCTACTGTTGTCAAGATTCTCTTGCCTATGTTTCAATAAGTAGCAGTCTGTTGGAAATTATGCTTCGGATAAATTAGTAAGTGGCTTATCAACAAACAAAAAAACTACCCTTTTTCTATTGCAAAAACGTTGTGGGTGTGTGGATGTAGGCGTAAGTATGGTAGAAAAGAAGACTGACACACCCAGGGTTAGAACCGGATCGATAGATACCGGAATTTCACCGGTTGAACGTTTGGAGAAATCTTCTTTGTCAACTCTGTTTGTGGCCATAAAAACTAAGATGTCACATGTTTTTTTTTTGTCAGAATGCGTAATAAGTCCTCAAAACAGATGTTATATTCATCATTTTTTCTGAGATTCTCTTTAAAAAGATTCATTATGACGAGTATGTTTCACATACGCTCCTAAACTACTTCATATTTGAAGCCGTTTTTTCTAAAAATCGTTGTTCAAAAACATTCGACATTTTTCCTCCGGTTTTTAACCGGTTTTCATCGGAATTTCTCAACCGATTCCAACCCTGCCCACACCAATTATTTTACAGTGTAGAGGACGAAAAAAAGCACTCGAACCGTCACAAAGAATGAAAATAGAAAAAAAAATCTTCTTTTTCTCTCTGCACGAATTATTATTATGTACATTTCTATAGTTCAAGAGAAACTGTGCAAATATTGCATCAGTGTACGAAAATTAGATTCGAACATAAGAGTGAATTAGTTATCTTCTAGACAATGCGATTCAAAAGAGAACTTCAAAGAGAAGAGTAAAAAAATCTGATATTCCCTGAGTGAACGAACAGAACAAGGAGAATTAAAGAATTTGTCAGATTTATTATGAATAAATCTACAAAGAATTTTCTCAAGATCAGGATAAAAAAAAATCTTGATGATCAATATTAAAAATAAATAATGTCAAATAAATAAGATTTT